CCTGACTTGGAAATACATTCCTGATCCTTCATTGTCGCTCGGTCAAAATCCTGGAACCAAATCCCTAAGGTATTGTGGTTCTAGTGATAGCACATGGACCGCAGCAGTTCAGGAAGGCAGCTCACCATCTCCTTCGCAAGGGCAACCAGGCACAGGAAGTAAATGCTAGCCCAACAAGTGGTGGCCACATCCCTTGAGAGAATTTAAAGAAAAGACTTTGAGTGATATTTAATCATTTTGCTGGGCCTTCAGATCTCGATAAGACAAAGGTCTCCTTTTTGAACAGTGCTAACCAGTGTTTGACAACTGCCACAACTCAGTAGTGTGTCTTGTGGAAAGCGCAGTCTTCCCAAGGTTTGGCAAAGAGCCTGTTTCCCACTTCTGTGCATCCTGAGACCACTGCAATCATCCTCATGGACCTCCATGTGCAAGATGGTGACAGAGTGGGACGCTCCGGTCGGAGCTCCTCTGCGCCACCTGTTCTTCTTCCTCCTTTTCCTTTCTTTCCTCTTTTTTTTTCTTCTTCTTTCCCCTCAGCACCAGAGCGGGCAGCAAGTCCAGAGTAGCAAACCCTTGCGCCCTGGAACACTGCAAACAGCGAGCCCTGCAGCAGCATGTGGGCTGCGAGCCCCAGAGCAGCGTATGGGCAGCGAGCCCCAGAGCAGTGCATGGGCTGCAAGCTGCAGAGCAGCATGGGGAAGAACCCCACAGCAGCATGTGGGCTGCGAGCCCCAGAGCAGCACGCAGGCAGCGAGCATGAGCTGGTGGCATGAGCGAGAGCAGGCAGCCTGAGGTGAGCGGGATCAGGCAGCCCGAGCCAGCTGATGGTGAGTGTGGGAGTAGGCAACCTGAGACAGCGACAGAGGGGCCAAGGCCCTGGAGCAATGGGGTGGGGGGAGCGGGGCCGAGATATGGCCAGTACAGGGCGACTTACCTGGTTGCTGCTGAGTGTCGGTGGGGAGCGGACTGGAGGCTGGAGAAATGCGGGACAATTACTGGACTTGGGCCTGGCACCATATGCTGAGCTGCTGTTATCGGACTGTAATTTAAAACCTTTCCACTAACTGGTAACTACCTCTGTAAGTAATGCTTACGCTTTCCTTTAATCCTCTTTGTGTAAGACCACTATTTTGTTTTACTCTATAAGATTTGTACCTAGGTACTTGTACTTAAGATGGCGCCACAAAAAGCCAGCCATTGTAAAAACGTTTCATTGTACTCCTATACTTCGGTATTGTAGTACGAGTGAAAATAAGGGATACTCTATTTTGTTCTAATCCTGCTCAAGTAGAACTGCAAACGGAAGGCAAAAATACAGAACAAGGCTCACAGTGAGGGATGTGTAACTGAAAAAGAAACTTAAAGTCCTTAGGTTGAAGAAATTATATTTCCAGGTGTTAATGTTGAGGTAGTGGTGGATGGTTATGATGAACTGATTGAGTGGCCCTCCTGGATGTAGCTTTATGAAGTAGATTTCCATGTTTTAAATGACCTCAATTCACAGTCAGTTTTCTCTCAGGCCTGATCACTTTTACTGAACTGTGGACAAAGACTTAGAAAGAGAGAGAGGAGACAGACTTTCGTGATATTACTAGATTTTTCTCAAAGTTACTAAGTTCAGTTTGAAAAAGTCACAAACTCATAATTATAACTTATTACAGGTGGATGGTTTAGATGTATAAATACTGACTGTGGGATAGGAATTATCCATTTTGAACAAAGAATTTTCATCATCCATTTTCAAACTCCCCTGTTATCTTTAGATACAGATAATGGGGATTTCAATCATCCTCTTTACATAATGCATTTTGGACTCAAGTCTCTGTTCCAGGAAAGATCTATTGTCAAGAAGTCTCAAAGGACATGTGGTCAAGGTTACTGGTGTTATACATGTGTCAACTGATCAACTGGAGCCCAGCCAGAAAGGGACTGTCTTCATTGTATCTTCCCCTTCTCTTGGTCCTCCACTTCTTGTATATGCTCCTCTTCCTCATGCAGCTGCTCCTTAGGCATTCACCTGAGGTGATGGCAAGAGCTGCTCCCTCATGTCGATAATGTTGTCGCGAGTTGTGACACTTACTTAACTAAGTAGTGCAGAGCTACTCTCGATGGGCCCATGTAGCAGAGGGTACGCTCCAGAATTGCTTGTAACATTGTGGCTCTCATTGTATGCCTATTGTGCACATGTGTGTGCGCCCTGAACTGGAGTCCTGAGCCACATTATGAGTGATGAACTGTTGTCATCCAGAAACCAGCCTTTGAATTGTTCTGACAGAGGACAGCTGCAGAATGAAGGAGTTAAAACTGCTGGCTGGATATCAGGTATTAACTGCAAGATGTGTTTACTGCCGTCAGTTCAAGAGAATCCCTCGAGGTCAGGAAAGTGGTAGATTCTTATGAGGAACATGCAAAGTAATGTGCATATAGTCAAAGTTGTCCCACTCCATAGGAAAGCTTGTAGTACACTCCATCTGCTTGTCGCTGGCAAGAGTGAATGAGACAAAGCTGACTCTACAGAGAGTGTCAGTGACATCCCTTATATAGCAGTGTATTACAGATGTTGCAATATACCTCCAATAGGTATCTGGAAACAACCAGGCACAAATAAATCCACAGCTAAGTTATCTTGATAGCCACAATGGGATTTTTGCCCTACTCCTGTTGGAAAATTTCAATCATGATCTTGAAGCAAAGACAGCACCAACATGGACCACCCTTCTCCCTCTCCTCCTCCTCTGTGTGGCCTGTCTTCATTCTTCCTGTCACATTCAATTTGAAGTGGAAAACTGACTAGGTCAGTCATCTTGGAACAAACTCACTTCAATACCAGCCTTTAAACCTGCCAAATATTACTTCAGTACTGGTCACATTACTATTGATGATTCAAACTTTAAACAAGGTGAGGAAATCTTTGGAAATGGGTAAAAATGAAAGCAGCAGTCAGAGAAATAATCAAACATTTAACTCATAAGTAGTTCATGATCTCTTTTACTAGCATTTTTGTGGTGGGAAGGAAGGGATGGTTCAATGGGATATTCAGCTCTGCGAGTGTAAGAGAGGGTGCAGGCTGGAGGGTGACATTTAAAAATGACAGCACTAGCACTGATTTTAAGTCGTACAGTAATGGGCATCATAATCTTTATATGTTGCCGGTGGTTATTATAGACACACACAGCCTTGCCCAACATGGTTTCCAGCCCAGCTCCCACTGGATGGGTACGTGGACATCTCAAATGCTATTTCAGGCAAATGAACAAGAACCTCAGAACTAATTTTTCTACTCCAGCTCGATACTTCCCCATCATCCCCTTATATCATTCCAACTAGACCTTCAGACAATCCCATTCCTTCGGCATTTATCGTCCTCTCAGTTTCTATTTGTGAAGCAGTTTGGATCATTTTTCATGTTAAAGCTACAATATAAATTTAGGTTGACATGTGTAGGACAAAGAAGAATAGCTAGACGGCTTGTCTTTTGGTCAGCAGAGGGAGAACATTCAAGAATGGCTAGCTTTTAAAAATGCTATACTATCCAAATCAATTCTGAGAAATCTTACCATAACCTTATGTGCAAAGCAATGACTGAAAACCAACTTTAAAGAAAGGTTTCAGCACTTTCACTTGTTCTTTATTTCATTGGTGCCTCATTCAGCCTCCCACTTTTATTATTTTTAATTTTACATTTTTTTGATATCACTTCTTTTAAACAGTTGATACTTTATCTTTCTTATATTCTTACAAATTTTTACATTGAACTCATAGTTCTGTCTGGAAGTTAGACCTATAGCTGTCAAATTAACCAATGATTAACTTTTCACTTGGTAAATCACCAATGCTTTCTAATGGCCAAAGCAAATTAGCAATTTTTTACTGGAATTTTACACTATTATTGTTTCGTTTTTGAACCCTTATTTTTAGAATCCAAACATCTAAAAAATACCATTGCATCTTGTTGTTTCTAGTAAGCAGTGAGATAGCTGGGTAGGAAAATTACCAATAATGCCTTTTAATTGATATATGCATGTGCTGAAGAGTGCACTTGGGAGAGAAGGTGTATGCAGAATTTGTCACTGCCAAACAGCTTTGTGCTCCCTGAGTCAATTTGTTAATATTACTCTTGGCTTCTTCCCAAAATGCTGATGTCACCCTGCAAACAAAGAAAACTTAAACAAGAGACAAAGCAGCCAATGCCAAGAAATTAATTCACACCCATCACAGATCCAACACCCCGGGAATTCATTTCCCATGCAGAGTCTATACTGAGTCATCCATCCCTGTCCAGATAGAGTCCCTACTTTAACAAATCATATGTCAAATAGCCATGCTTCGCTGAGACTGTGTTTTGGAGTCAATGAATGAATATCAGCATCACCCATCAAAGCTGCTCCCTCTAGTGGCCTCAGTCCTGCTCCCTGCAATAGCACACACTGCTGATCCCAACTCGCCCTCATCACTGTTCCAACTTCTCCCCTTATCACTACCCCAAATTTTCCCCTTACTACTGATCCCAAATATCCCTCATCACTGATCCCAACTTTTCCTCATCACTGATCCCAACTCTCCCCTTATCACTGATCCCAATTCTCCCCTCATCACTGATCCCAACTCTCTCCTCATCACTGATCCCAACTCTCTCCTCATCACTGATCCCAACTTCTCCCTTTAACACTGATCCCAGCTTCTCCCCTTATCACTGATCCCAACTTCTCCCCTCATCACTGATCCCGACTTTTCCTCATCACTGACCGCAGTCTATACCTTTGCACTAATCTAGTTTCACGCTAGACAGAGGTGGGCTGTAATATTAATTGAGGGAGAAGGTTGTCAGTATGAACTGAACCAGGAGGATGTACACCAACACAAGCTGATGGGAAGGGAAGGAAGATGCTAACAAGATGTTGAGTATGAGTGATTAACTGAAATGGCAAAAAGAGCAGATTACATCTGAACTGGAGAAGGAGCAGGCAGAACTGTAGCAGCGTCCATTTGAATGGTAGAAGATGAACAGTGACAATCTGGGTGTGGGTAAGTTAATGGACAGGAAGGGAAGGTGTGCCTGGTGAACTGGGTCGGGAATGGATTGTGTTTCTGTTTCACTCGAATAACTAAACAAATAATTTAACAACCAGATTTAGAAGATCAAAATACAATTATATTTCCACAACTGTCTTCCACAAAGACCAAAGAAAACTCCTGATATTTCTTTTTGTCATCACGATGTGCAAGTACATTGAATATTGATCTAGCTGCAGATTGAGTGAGGTCAAGTTACTACTTCACTTTCAGTACAACTGAACGGCTGATTTTTCCAATGTCCCTGTTAGTTGGCTCATAGCCAGCTGTATAGCATGCACTTGCTGAATCAGGACGAATGCTTGGGCTTCAGAGCATTTCCATGGCCTGTTGTTTCATCTAAGTGCTGCTGAACAGCCACCCCAGACTGAAAGAACGGATTTTGTCCCTTTAACCTTTTGATTCTTCTGGGACTTACTAGTACCATACTTGATCAACTGCTGTCTTGATTTTTGAGCCTGAGTACATTTGAGAAATTAACACTGGGGTACAAAAAGATACATTCCTGAAATGAAAACATGTAGGATAGCAATCTTAACAAAATACAAACATTGAAGAAAGGTCACTGGACTTGAAATGTTAACTCTGTTTCTCTCTCCATAGATGCTGCCAAACCTGCCAAGTTTCTCCAGCAACTTCTATTTTAAATTTCCAGCATCTACAGTTCTCTGTTTTATTTCAGGGTAGAGTCTTACCAGACTCTGAGCAGAATGGGTGATGGCGAGATGAGTGGTAGAATAGGTGAGGTGTTCAGCGAGGCTGGTCTCAATGCTAAGATTATCCCACTGTATCTTGTTCACTTTTCTCAAGCAGTTTAGCGAGATTCTCACTAGTCAGCAGCAAGTTCCCGTTTGACTATCACAATACTTGTTAAACAGCTTGTTAACAGCTCAACTCACCGCAGATTGTGATATTACCGAACTCACCATACAAATCCACAAACAGGAAAACATAACATGGAAACCAGAGTGGGTTCTTGGTGGCTTCAACTCATCACTTATGCCAGGAGACCTATCTTGCCCCTGGTCAAACTGCAGAGCACAGCCCAATCTCCCAAAACTAGCAACACATGCCCTTCCACCACGGATACTGGCACTCCACTCTCAGGGAGGCATGGCCACTATTCTAGCATTCTCCAATGCTATGGCACTGTGCCCTCCTAGAGCAGATTGGTCTAGGAAGGCACACCAGCAACCAGCAGTGTATAGCTGCATAAGGTACAATACCACACAGGGGCAGAAACCCATTACACAGTCTGGACCAAGCTGCTTCCTTTCTCTCTTGGCACACATTCACCTTCTTCCCACATGTATATCCACAGTACATATGCCTAGCCTTGCCCTGCTGTGCTGTGAATTGGCAATTGTGGTGCAGTAACGTAGCCAGGCAGGTGGCTATTTCTGTACAGAAGTCCACAGACATGTCTGTATCTGAACATTTTAAAGAAGTTATCTGCAGTGAAGTCCATGGGGCACCTGTCATTCAGGGAAATCCAACACGGTTAGTCAAGGGCAGAGCCCCAGACCAGTCCCGAGCTTCAACCGCAGCCAGGTGTCCATTTGGGGTGACATTACACAGGGAGGTGATGTCTCCATGCTCCAGGGAGTGGGTCATGGTAAGTCCTTTGCTTTCATAGGAACCAGTCCGAGGGTGGGGAAAGGGAGGACTTTCCCAGCTGGGGTCATGGGGTCTGGGCAGGTGAGGGCTGGCGCTGGGAAGTCAGCTCACTTGAAGTGGTGGGTCACAGTCATCTCATCATCTCCGTTTGCAGGAAGTAAGGGGGAAAGGGGGCTGAGGACGTGGGGGCACAGGTAGGCAGTTGGGATCTTAAGTACATGGCTTGGATAATGGCTTGGGGATGTGCAAAGCCTGTGAGGTTAACGGAATAGCACCTTGAGAGGAGAGCCTGATGTTGGCTGTTTCAACAGCACGTTAGCACTAGGGCTGAAAGCTGCTCACAGAGGGTCACTTGCTGTTGTACCAATCATGAAGAACAGGGACAGTACACAATGTGAGGGACTCACAATAAGTGATCTGACTGGCAAGGGAAGGGACAGCATCTGTAAACTGTTCACTGGGCCTTCACAGCAAAGCAACATTGTCCTCCACCATATGATATGTCGGCCACACAGAATATAGGATACCCACCCCTTGGCCATCCTGCAGCATTGACCATTTGTTTGCCCCTCCATGTTCCCATCACTGCTGGGAAACTCCCTGAGATATACAGCCCTGTGCACACAGCCAGTCAAACAGTAGGCAATGATGAATAAGAGACAATGATGCCACAGGGCAGAATGAAGCATCTACAGTCATAACAGAGACAGGGACAACTGAATGAATAATGAAGTGCAAAGGTTTATGAGATGTTATTAGTATTGAACTAACATTGTTTGAGAACCAACTTTGAACATGGCATTGATTGTAAAAGGAATGCAAATCCTATTCAATGCTAAACAGAAACTATTAACATCACAGTGTGTGCTGCACAAACTATTTCCATAGTTTGCCAGCTGTCACCCACTCGTGCTGATAGAGTTTTCTCCTCCTGCAACACTGACCTCCTCTCTCTACAGATGGCCTGGAGGGAGCCAGCCCCATACTGCAGCCAATTGGCTTGGGGAGCTTTGGTCAGGTGATACTGGGGATGCTGTGTCCAGATGGGCCAGATGTGCCATGGAGGCAGGCAGATAGTTGAAAGACTGTTTGCACTGCTGCAGAGTCTAGGCGATGATGGGCTGGGAATCGATCGACTGGCTGCATTGCTGCAGAGTCTGAGCAATGATGGGCAGTGACTCAATGCAGTGGCACCATTACCCCAGTCTCCAGTATATCATCCAGCTTCTGGTTCTCCCTTTGCATTTGCACAAAATCCCTCAGGCCGGGACCACAGGGTCATCTCCCACAGGCGGGGGGTTTAGGGAGTCAGCAAGTGCCTGGTCTCTGTCAGTCCCTGAGTGCCAGTGGCCTGGGCACTTTCTCCCTCAGCCATTTGCAGAGCTGTCGGTGTGTGAGACTCAGTGAGTGAGCTCTTATCCACCCCAACATTTTCCCCCTCTGTACCACTAACCCTGCATGCCCTCTGCCCTGCCTACTCATGTAATCAGGGCACCTTGCCACCTTTACCCCACCTGCACCAGCATTGAGAACTGTGCCCACTTTTACCTCAATCACTCAATCAATCACTCCCTTTGTCTCCTTCACTGAGAAATGGCCCCTTAAAAGGCTGAGCGAGCCAGGACAGGTGGTAGGGTACTGGATATTCAATCCCCTCACCCCATGCAAGGTTTTGCAAAGGAAGCCAAGTGTATGCACTCTCAAAGACTGGTGACAATCTGTCAGCTGAAATGCTCTATTTTTGAAAGTGTGCCCCAGTTGTTTAACAGAAACACATTTCTTCCAGAGTAAACTGTCTATTTTGGCAGAATTATTAAAAGACCATAAGACATAGGAGCAGAAATTAGACCATTCAGCTCATCAAGTCTGCTCCACCATTCAATCGTGGCTGATAAGTTTCTCAACCCCATTCTCCTGCTTTCTCCCCATAATCCATGATCCCCTTTATCCTATTTAGAATCCTATTTAGAAACTTGGGATGGAAAAGAATTGGCAAACTCTACATAATGGCTTCTTTGCTTTAACTGTTGCCTTACTTATGTTGTGTCATTTCTTATTTCTGAACATGGTGTACGTTTAATTAACCTTTGACTCACATCCACTTTCTTGTAATCTCTTATACCAATAACGCCCTATGTCTTTCAATCACCCAATTCACCAAGAACTGTGAAATAAGAAAAGGACGACCACCTTATTGGGATTGTTCTACAGACACCCCCAATAGTCATCAGGAAAATGAGAAAAGCTATCTAAAAGTTAAAGTTCTAAATTGGAGGAAGGCGAATTGTAACAAGATCTCAGTTATCTGTCAGAATAATAGAGTGGTAATGGTAGGGGATTTTAACTTTCCAGACGCAGACTGGGACCATCATAGCATTAAGGGCTTGGATGGAGAGGAATTTGTTAAATGTGTATAAGAAAATTTTCTGATTCAGTATGTGGATGTACCTACTAAAGAAGGAGAAAAAAACTTGACCTGCTCTTGGTGACTGAAACTAATTCTATTAGTTTTAAAATAGTGATGGAAAAGGCTAGACCGGATTTAAAAGTTAAAATTCTAAATTGGAGGAAGGAAATTTTGATGGTATTAGGCAAGAACTTTCAAATGTTGATGGGGGTGGGCAGAGAGGCTATTCACAGGTAAAGGCACAGCTGGAAAATGGGAAGCTTTCAAAGCTGAGGTAACGAGAGTCCAGAGACAATATGATCCTGTTAGTGTGAAGGGCAAGGCTGGTAGGAATGCTGGATGACCAGATAAATTGATAAATAAATAAAGAAGGAAGCTTATGTCAGGTGTAGACAGCACGGATCGAGTGAATCCCTAGAAGAGTATAAAGGCAGTAGAAGTATACTTACAAGAGAAATCAGGAGGGCAAAAAGGGAACATAAGATAGTTTTGGCAAATAGGGTTAAGGAGAACCCAAAGGGATTCTACAAATACATTAAAGACAAAAGGGTAACTAGGGAGAGAATACGGCCCCTTAAAGATCAGCAAGGCTGCCTATGTGTGAAACCACAGGAGATGGAGGAGATACTAAATGAGTATTTTGCATCAGTGTTTACTGTGGAGAAGGATATGGAAGCTGGAGAACTTGGCAAAGTAAATAGTGACGTATTGAAAGTGCCCATATTACAGAGGAGATGGTGCTGGACATCTTAAAATGCATAAAGGTGGATAAATCCCTGGAACCTGATCAGGTGTATCCTAGAACTCTGTGGGAAGCAAGGGAAGATATTGCTGGGCCCCTTGCTGAGATATGTGTATCATTGACAACCATAGGTGAGGTGCCAGAAGACTGGAGGTTGGCTAACATGATGCCACTATATAAGAAAGG